GGGCCCGACCTTCGACGCAGGCGTGGTTAAATTGTTGATTTCGGCTGGCAGTTTCCAAGAATTTTCCTGATATGGATGCAGCGTTGGCCGCTGCTCTCGCCCTCTGGCTCTTTCTCTTTTGGCTCTTCGCGATTGTCGCCCTTGGATCAACGGCAGAATGCGCGGCATGATGTCGGGGAAGTTCGTCATCCAGCAGAAGAGGTCGTGCGCCGAAGCGCACTCACTCCCTTCTCCTCCTCCTCCTCCTCCTCCTCCTCCTCCTCCCCCCCCCTCTTCCTCCTCCTCCTCCTCCTCCTCCTCCTCCTCCTTCCTCTTTCTCCTCCTCCTCCTCCTCCTCCTCCACCTCCTCAGGGCCGCGGCCGAGGGCGCGTTGAAACGCCCGGAGGAGCGTCCGCTTGCGCGCGCCGCCTGGTTTACGCAAGAAGCGCGCGCCCCCCGCCCTCGGAACCGCCGCGGCCAGGGCTCGGGCGCTGTCTTGGCCCGCGGGCTGCAGCGGGGCGTCGCGCTGGTCGGGCGGGCCCACGGGGAAGCGGAGGGGCGCGCGTTCGAGGTCAGCTCGCGGCCCGAGGTCATCGAGAATCATATGGGTGTCCAGCGCGACCTTGGCGAGCTATCGGACGGAATGACCCCGGAGAAGTTCGAGCACTCGGTGAAGATCTTGACCGTCGGGGCCCCCCGCGCTATCGCCGCCGCGTCGATCGCCCAGAATGGCGCCGAGGCGCGCGGGGATCTTGCGGGCCACTTGGCCAATGACTCGAACTGCGTCTGCAGGGAGAAGGTCTTGTCCAAGCGCAGGTCTTTCCAGCAGCCCCTGGAAAAGGGGGCGCCCTTCGCCGCGGCGCGGGCCTGCGCGGATGGGGCAGCGCCCGCGCCCCCCCGCGGCCCCTTCAGGACGCGAGAAAACACAAAAAAAAACAAAAGCCACAAAGCGACCAGGAGGGGAGCCAATACTCAATTGCAGATTGGGGGGAGGGGGGGGGGGGGCCGAGGGGGGGGGGGGGAGAGGGGGGGGGGGAGGGGGGGAGTTGGGAGGAAGGAGGAGGAGGAGGAGGAGGGAGAGGGGGGGGAGGAGGAGGGGGGAGGAGGAGGGGGAGGGGGGGGGAGGGGGGGGGGGGAGGATGAGGAAAGGGAGGGGGAGAGGAGGAGGGAGTGCGATTGGTTCAAGCGTGCCCTGGAGGAAGTTACGATCATGTCTACTCTCACGCAGATCTACCGCGCGTCGAAGGTGCGCACCTCCAGCGGCATGGGCCCGCAGTGGGATCAGATCGCCGCCGACGTTTCTTCGGACAGGCCGCGACTTGCGAGCGTAGCGGACGACCTTTGCAAGTGCGTGCAAAACTGGGCGGGTGGAGAAAATTGTCACTTGTTGTCCGACTTGAACGGCTTCTGGTCATCATTGACAATGCGCCGTGCAGCAGCCAGCACAACCTGGAAATTCGTGGCGACGCTCAACTTTGCGGAGGGCCCCGAATACGTCAACGCGCTGATGAAGGCGGTTGTTACTGCGCCTGAATCCACGTGTCACGGCGGCGTCCCCAAGCTTTTCAACGGGCAGGACTTCCGGGGCATCGTTGGGGAGAAGTGGGCGGAGTGCATCGCAGCGTGCGTTTGCATCCTCCATGCGAAGCAGTTCCTCGACAGGCTGGTCGGAATGAGGACGGCCGACAAGATCCGAGTGTTTGGGGAGCTTCGAATCAGGATGGCGCGCGCGATGCACAAGAAGAAAGTCAGGGCGAGGAAGACGTGCGAGTCCTTAGAGTCCGTCAAGCAGTCCTTCCTTGCCGACGTTCGCTATGGTTGGGGGCGAGATCGGCGATGCGCCGCGGCCGCATGTCCGACCGCCGTCGACAGCGACGCTTGCATGGGGCCTCCGCCAGTGCGACCAGCACGGCCTGAGCATTAACGACATCAAGAAGCCGGGCTTCGATGTCGGCAAGGTGGTCCACGAACCTGGCGACGGTGAAGTCTCCTGGGCCATCGCGGAGCTGAAGGGCGGCGCGGCGAAGCTCGAGGAGGGCGCCGACGAACGCGACGTTGTCAAGACGATCTCCTTCGGAAGCCTGGCTGACGCGCACGGGGCGGGGCACGACGGCGCGCGCGCACGCGCGCGCTTCCCCCTCGTCGGCCTGCCCCCCCCCCCCCCCCCGCCCCCCCCCCATCCATCAGGTTTTTTTTTTTTTTTTTTTTTTTTTTTTTTTTTTTTTTTTTTTTTTAAAATATATATATATTAATATATATATATAGATATATATTATATATTATATATATATATATTATATTTCGCGACAAATTGGGGGAGGGGGGTTGCAGGAACCATGCAATTATGACCCTGAAATTGTGCTACACTTGGGCCCCCCAAGACACCGGGCTAGAACGGATAGGGGGGGGGGGGGGGGGGAAGAGGTCCGGGGGGTGCGGGTGTGGGGGGGGAAGGGGCGACTGGATGGGAGGGGAAAGGGGCAGGAGGGGGGGGGTGCCAGGAAGCAGTTTCTGCCCGCGACCACCCCTCGCCACCCTTGCCCATAAAGCCCGGGTGGCGGGCGTCAACGCGACCGTCGCCCTGGGCGTCGGCGACCTGCGTTCGCCGCTGGACCGCCCCCGCTGCGCCCCCATCCTAACCTCGTCGTCTCCATCCGTCTCGTCGCTACCCCCCCACCCCCACCCCCACCACCCCCCCCCCCCCCCCCCCCCCCCTCCCCACCCCTCCCCTCCCCAACCTCCTCCCCCCCTCCTCCTCCCCCTTATCCTCCGCCTCGCTTCCTCCCCCTCCACCCCCCATCGTCCTCGTGCTCGCCCATCCCCTGTCCAATCGCACATCCCTCATCCAATCTCCCTTTCCCCGTCGGCGGTCGCGCCTGGCGAGGGGCCGAGGGTCGCCCTCGTTAGTGTTGCCATCCGCCCCTTCCTCCCCCTCCTTTCCTCCTCCTCCTCCCCCCGCCCACCCCCGCCTCCTTTCCTCCTCCTCCTCCTCGTCCCTCCTCCCCCTCCATCCGCCCCTTCCTCCCCCTCCTTTCCTCCTCCTCCTCCCCCCGCCCACCCCCGCCTCCTTTCCTCCTCCTCCTCCTCGTCCCTCCTCCCCCTCCAGGTGGTCGGTGATGACAGCAATGATACGTGGGTGCAATGATGTTGTACATATGGCGGTGATGGTGATGATGTTGGCGATGTTGTTGATGCTGCTGGCGATGGCAACACTGACGGCGATATGCGTGATGATGGTGATGCGTATCATGACGGTGACGGCGACGTTGCTGGCGAAGCCGATGGCGATGGAACTGGTCAACATAGCGATAGTGTTTATGATGAAGATAGCGGTGGTGATGATACTAATGACGGTCGTGGTTATCTGTATGGCGATAGCAGCGGGACTCCAGGGCGTGAGATGGCCCCCTCCTCCACTGGCGCGCCGCGCACAGGGGCGCCCCACGTGGCTGCTGGAGGAGGCGCGCAGCCTCGCGAAGCTGGCCATGCGCCAGGCTTACGTGCAGGCGCGCGACCCGCCCCTCCAGGTTCGCTACGGCTGCCACCCCTAAGTAAGTGCGAAAGGCCTCTTCGCGACGAAGCCATGCGATAAGGGTCACGTGGCCCTCCTGCCCTTCTCAGCAATCGCGGGCGCGGGCCCCGGGGCCCCGCCGGGCGCGGTTCAGATCGACGCGCGTAAGATTTTGCCAGGGGGCGTTCGTGACCATGCAAAGATGTGGATCACAGGGAAGTTTGAGCCCCCGGTTTCTCCTGATGGCCCGTCGTCTGCGATGCCCAAGGACCCGCTTGTTGTCCCTTTCTGGGCCTGTCAGACAGTTGCGACTCGCCCGAGTCCAATATGAAGTGGGTCGGTGTTTGCGCGTGCGTCGCTTACCCTGTTATTGATGGCGTGAACCATCAGACAAAATTCGCTGACAAGTCTGCCAGTGAGCGCGGGGTGATCGTCGCTATCCCAGCGCTGACGAAAAGCAAAGCGGTCGAAGCAGGTGGCGAGTTGCTCGAGTCACCCACGGCCCTCCAGCCTGCCTTGCCAGCAAAGAGGGGCGCGGATGGCGAACGCCCCGAGTCGCCGTCTGCTAAGAAGGCTGGCGCTTCGCCCAATCCCGCCGATCCCAAGGCAAAGGCCATGGGCGGCGTGGGCAGGGGCAAGGGCCGCAAGGGAATAAGTGACATGTATAGTAGTTGCGTCTGTCAGCTGGGTGGACAGGATGTTGCAAGTCTAAGTTTTTGAGCGCCCTGTGGTCTTCATGGGCGCGCGGGCTCTGTTCGCGTGCCCGCGTCGGCTCCTTCTGTGGTTTGCGCGGCGCTGCTGCGCTCGCGGACGCAGGTTCCGGAGGCGCGCTCTCTGCCCGAGGGGCGAGGTAGGGCGGATAGGTGGGATAGCGCTGGATTGGCGAGGGCGCCCGCCCGCCACTTTTGTCATGTAGGCAGCGTTGCGAGACGCGTTAGTGAGATGTGCGATCGACGGGGCATTCTTTAGCGTGAATGAAGTCGCCTTCGCCCGCTCGCACAGAACATGAAATTCAACATCCCCCTCCATGCGCCACTTCCCCCCCCCCCCCCCTTCTTGCGCAAACGAACAAGCCGGCAAGCTAGCGCGCGAGCAAGCAGGCAAGCAAGCAGGCAAGCAAGCAGGCAAGCAAGCAAGCAAGCCTTGAGCCGAGGCGTTTCTCCCCCTCCGCCTTCCTCCTCCTCCTGCTCCTCCTCCACTCCACCTTCCTCCTCTCATCAACCTTCCTCCTCTCCTCCTCAGCCTTCTTCCGACCTCAGAAGGGCCCTATAGGTGGTTGTCAGGATCCAAGCAAGAGGCCTATCAACCCCTCGCACTCCCCCCTAATCACTGGGGCTGCAACGCGCCCTCCTCCGGGCGAACATCGCATTTGATCCGGTTTCTTTTTGGGCGTGCTTGCCTCTCCTGCTTTCCCCGTCTCCAACCATAGCCATAGCAGCTTTCTCGTCTACGTGCTGACGAGGGCGGTGCACCTGGCGCAGCCCGCGCACCATGCCAATCTTAATTGACGAGGGCTACGTCTTCATCTCCTCTTCTCCAAGGCCACATCCGAACAACTCGTGCGCGGTGAATCCGCAGTCGGTTGACGGCGCACATTGTATTCAGATCAACAAGTCCGATGCCAAGTTGAGCAAGACATTGGTTTTTTTCCAGATGGTCGACCACATTGCGAAGCTGCGCAGCAACCTCGTGGAGAGCAATCGGGAGCAGTCTGCTGAAGCCGTGGGCCCCCTCGCTGCAGGTGGAGCTGACGCGTTTGATGGAGGGCCTAGACCGAAAAGGTCCCAGCGCGACAGCGCGTGCGCTATAGATCTCCTGGTGACCATCGGCGCGAAGACCGACGACGTCCAGACCCATCGAGTTCACGTTGCACCTACTGCCAGCGACAGGGCAACCCTCGCCATGGAGTTGCATACGAAGATCCCGAAGAACGAGGACATTCAGGACCAGTTCTGTCCGGGGATCGACCACGCCACCCCCGATGTACAATGGCTGGCGAAGCGGAGCGCACGCGTGACACACTACTATAATGACATGAAGTGGGTGTCCAGGGAGACGAAAGTAGCGATCACTCCGACCGATCACGGTAGCATGCAGGAGGCGTCCAACAGGGTTGCTGAGTCGCTCCAGGACTTCTACAACAGGAACCACAGGGACCCGTCGTAGGTATTCGGCTTCGAGTTTTCTTGGAGGACGCGGTTGCACCTCGATCCGAAGTCACGTTGGGAAGTGGCTCGACATGTGATGAGGGTGTGCCTGAGGATTGTTCTAGACGCCGTGGGGCAACGGTCGTGCTAGCTGAGACGCGACCGCCGGGGCGTGCGGGGATGCTGCAGCTCGCATGGCAACATTAAGACGTGTCCGTCTCAACTCCTCTCAACATCTCTGCGTTCGTCACCACATTCACAACGTGTGTGACACATAGTCACGTCGGAGAGGTTGCGACAGCATTTCCGAGGGCAGAGACCTGGCTGAACGTTCGCATGTCTGAGATGCTAGGTCGGATCTGGAGCATTTGCCTGAGATGTCAGGTAGGTCCTGGAGCAGTTGCCTGAGATGATAGGTAGGATCTGGATCACATGCACACATATGACCTATGTGATGGGGGGCATTGGGGCACATGCCTGAGATGTTAGGTAGGATCTGGAGCATATGCCTGAGATGCTAGGTCGGATCTGAAGCAAATGCCTGAGATGATGGGTAGGATCTCAGGCATCGGGGGCGCAGTGTGGGGGGTGGGGTGGGTGGGGGGGCGAACACGGTCTTGCAAACCAACACTGTTGCAGAGTACCATTCTTAACAAGATCGCGACATATACAATTACAGAAACAGTCAAGCGAGGACCCCGTGGGGTTCACATGTGGCCATCACTGGGCTCGCACATGGTTCCAATGAAGCCCCAACGGTGCTCGTACGTGTAGGGTTGGGTCGTCCATAAAGGGGCGGGTTGGAGCCATCTTCGGCACGCGTCCGACCCTTCACCCGCCGTAGCAGCGTTTTGGCTCACGTGTTCTGGCCGTCTGCTGCCTTCCCATTCGCCTGTGCTTGGTGTGCACACTCGCGTTGTTCCATCGCCGACCGTCGCCACGGCGGCTATGGCGTCGAGCTCTGCTGGGCCAGGGGGAGACCCTGGAGCAACTCCGTCCTCGAGGGATGCGAGGGCGATGCCCCAGGGCATCGCCGAAACACTGACGCCAAACGGCTACACGGTGAGTAGGGGGGTTAGGGGGCGGGGGGGGGCGCGATCTGCATCGTCGAAACCTTACCCAAAATTCCATCGTGGGCGCTTTTGGTCCAGGACCCGACAGGCAAAGCGTAGAAGATCGATCAAGAGGTATCCCTGGGCACGGTTTGTCTTTGTGGCCCTGGGCAGGTTACCAGGCACGTCCACTAACCGACAACAATTCGTTAAAGCCAGAGAAAACCGCGTACAGGTCCCAAGAGGGTCCGCACAGGCCCCACGAGGCCCTGGAGGCCCCGACGGAACCAAAACGCGCCCACCCCAATTTCCTGAACGCAGTTCCAGGACCCCCCCAGAACTGTTACAGGACGACACGCAGGACCAAGCAACGGATATCCAAATTAGCGTAGCATAGAAGCACGTGGCCCACAACCCAGGCAGCGTGGCGACATTACCTGAAGGTCCTCCTCCTTTTCCTCCTCCCCCTCATCCTGTTTCTGCTCCTCCTCCCCCTCCCCATCCCCCCCCTAGGCTGTCTGCTTTAAGCCGCGAAGGCGTGCGATGCATAGGCCGATGCGTCGGCAACGATGCCCATCATCGGCGGTGCGGAACGGGACAAACGCGAATGGCGCGGTGACAATCGCCGATGGTTTGGGGCGTAGTTCAAAAAGTGGCGAACACGGTTGTCGAACAGAGGTGCGTACCCGGAAACGTATCGGGTTGCGACGCCTCACTTAGGAGGTGGTTTGATACGTAATCGGGAACGTTTTTTTTACGTATTTAGGCAAGTAGCGCCAGTTAGTTGTTTGTAGGAGGACAGGCCCTTCTCAAGGGAGGATCCCAAGAGGCTCCCAAACTGCCTCGAAGAGGCCCTTGAGAGGCCTCTGAGTTTATATATATATATATATACATAATATCGATTTGTATAGATATGTGTGTGGGTGTGTAGAATTGCATATGTATGTGAATATATACATATGCATACATGTATGTATGTATGCATGCATGCATGTATGTATGTGCATATGTATGTTTTTATGTATGTAATGTATGTAATGTATGTAATGTATGTATGTATGTATGTATGTATGTATGTATGTATGTATGCATGCATGTATGTATGTATGTATGTATGTATGTATGTATGTATGTATGTATGTATGTATATGTGTATGCATGTATGTGTGTATGGATGGATGGATGGATGCATGCATGCATGTATGCATGCATGCATGCATGCATTCATGTATGTATGTATGTATGTATGTATGTATGTATGTATGTATGCATGTGTGTGTTAGTTACATATGCATGTATGTGTACACAAATACACAATTCAATTCATTATTATATATATATATATATATATATATATGTATATGTATATATGTATATGTGTATCTATCTATCGGAGTAGGCCAGGGGAGGACCCAGAACTGCTACCTTTGCTTCGCATGGGGGGCCGGGGGGGCATTGAGGGAACCAAGAGGGTTCAGAAGGGGCCCCGGACCCCCCAAAAGCTCCCAAGCTGGCCCAAGAGGCGCCCAAAGCGCTCCAGGTTGTCTGGAGGGTGGCTGAAGAGCGCACTGAGATTGCTTCCGGCACGCGCGCTAGAAGACAGCCCAATATTGCTCCTAGACGGTCACAAGGGCATTCAAAACGGTCCTTAAGAGGCCGCCGAGAAGGCCCTCCAAGGACAAACATCAAGGATATTTACTTGTCCTGGATATTTGCTTTTCAGTCCTACCAGCGGTCGCGACGGCAGCAGAGGCTTCCGCAATGAGCCCCAGACGGCCCAAGAGGCCCCCAAGAGGGTCCCCAGATGGCCTGAAGAGAGCTTCAAGCAGCAGAAGAGAGCTCCAACACGGCCTAATAGACTAGGAACCCCGATAGAGCCACCGGAGGATCCCTACATGGTCGGACTGGGCCCCCCGAGGGCCCCAAGACGGGCTCAGCTACCCATGACATGCCAAGGGGGGCTTGGGATAGCCGAAATGGGCTCCCAGACGGGCCACAAAAGCCCCAAAAGGACCCCCCACGACTGTCCAGGAGGCCGCTGAGAAGGCCCTCCAAAGGCAACATCAAGCTTTCCTGGAAACGTATATTTCTGGGAGCTTCGCTTTTCACTTCTACCAGCGGTCGCGACGGCCCAAGAGGTTACCAAAATGAGCCCCAGACGGCCCCAGAGGCCCCAAAGAGGGTTTCAAGATGGGCTGAAGAAAGCTTCGCTTAAGCGGCAAAGTAGAGCTACAAGACGGCCCAAGAGAGTCCCCAGGATGCCGGAGGGGGCCACCAGAGGATTCCTACATGGTCGGAGAGGGCCCCAGGAGGGCCCCAAGACGGGCTGAGCTCACCACGACGAGCCAAGAGGGACCTGGAACTGCCGAAATGGGCCCTCAGACGGGCCAACAAAGGCCCCAAATAACTCCAAAGGAAGGCCCGGAGAGGCTCGAGAGACTGCCACAATGCTTCCCAAAAGGCTCCCGGCACGCGTTCCAGTAGGCACCTTTGTATTTGGTGCGTCGAGAGAAGAGAGGAGGACGAGGAGCAGGAGGAGGAGGAGGATTGTTGATTGTTGTGATGGGTGGTACTCGAATAGTAATCGTAGAGCGATGGAGGGCCGTGCGGTCTGCAACCGCCACGGCTCAAACCCTTTCTGTGTGAGGGCCTCAGGAGGCCCACGCGCGGGGCGCGTGCATGCTCCCGGTGGCCCACGGCGTGAGGCTGGTCGCGTTCCACGCCTGCGCCGCCTGGCTTGGGCGCCTGTGGGGAGGCGCTCGCCCGCCGCCGGTTGCGCCGGCCGCTCTGGAGGCGCCGCGGCCGGCGCCCGCTCCCGCGCCGCCAGCGCGGGGCTGCCCGGCGGCCTCGCCGCCGCCCGTCGCGCAGGTCGAGGACCTCTGCGCGGCGATCGCCCAGTGCTCGCCAGCGCTGGCCCAGCCCGCCTGGCACGCCTGCCCCGACCCGTGCCCGGCCTGCCCCGAGCCAGAGCCTGGGCGTTGGTCGTGGGGCGGCGAGCTGGGCTTCGGGCTGCTCGCGTTGTTCTTGTGGGAGGTGATCACCCATCGCGTGGCCGCGGCTTGCGGCCTGGCGCGCGCCTCGCTCGCGGCTTCTGGAGCTCGCTGTGGGGGCTGCCCAACGATCGCGGGCCGCCGCTGTCGCTGGAGGATACCTCGGACCGTCGAGTACCCCGAGGGCGTGGACGAGCGTTGACGCCGGATGAACATCGGCGACGAGGTGCTGGTGGCGCATGCGGTCCCTGGGCCTGTTTTGCTCCATCGCCGTGTGGTGGTGCGGGTTAGCGCTGTGCTGCCCTTGCACGCGGCGGCGGTCTCGCCCGACCGCGATCTCTTCGTTGAGCACTTCACCGCGGACAACGCGGACATCACTGCTTGGCATCTCTGTGGGCCTGGAGGAGCTACCCCCGCCGCAGCCATGGGTCAGGCGATCCATGACTTTCAGCCGCCGCTTTCGGCCCGCGAGTTCTTCAGCTTCACGGCGGAGGCCGACCGCCTCATCGTGGCCCACGACGCGCAGTTTGGAGCTGCTGGCGGCGCGGCCGTTGGAGGTCCCGCGCCCCCTGGCGGCGTCGGCGGCGGAGGAGGCCTTGGCGTGGCGGGGGGGCCCGGGGGCGGCCTGGCGGCTCTCCTCGACGGCGGCGGTGCGGTTGCGGGAGGAGGCGGCGGCGCGCTGGCTGGAGGAGGAGGCGCCAGGGCTGCGGTTCCTGCAGGCGCGGTTCCCGCAGGGGCCATCGGCGCCGTGGCGGGCGCTGCCTTGGCGGCCGCGGGCGTCCCGGCGGCGGCCGCGGCGGCTGGCGGAGGAGCGGCGGCAGCTGCTGGGCCCGCGGCGGCAGGCGGCGGGCATGCTGGGCTTGCTGCAGCTCTCGCGGATGGCGATGGAGGAGGTGGCCTTTCTGGACCAGCTGCTGGCGATGGCTTCGACACCTCGGATTACCGCGCGATGGCAGTGCGGCACGACGCGAATGGCCAGCGCCGCAGGTCTTTCGCGGACGCCGTTGCGATCTTGGCCCCAGCTCAGTGGGGTGACTGGCCCGTCCCAGGGCCGCGGACCGTGGCGTGGGTGGCTCGCTTCGTGTTGGAGAATGG